TACTGATGCCTTTGAATTTTTAGGATTTTTAGCTTTTGTAGATTTTAATGTAGCTTTATAGTCTATTACACTTTAGAATTGTAGTTAACACTTACCAAACCCTATTTTCCCATTTCATATCAAATTTTCTAAATTCTTTAGGCTTGTTTAGGCTCCTTTCAATGTAGGACTGTAGTAAATAGCCCCTGTTTAAGAACATTTTCACCCCAGGCCTGATCAATAAGATGCCATCATAGTCAAAGCAACCTTCAAGCCTGGAACCTCTGAGAAGTTCCAAAGACAGTACATGCTGTGAAGAAGAGGAGGATGAGGAAGAAAGGGGTCTTAGGACTTCCAACTCAGTTTCCACCTCAGAGGAGGTGTGCCCGGGGGGGAAGACCTGGGGGTGGGTGGTTCTCGGATCAGGCCATAAATTGTGGAACCCCTGGACACAGGGTGGATATGCCTTTTTGTACTCCTTGTGTCAGGAGGCCTTCATTGAGGAGCTGTTCTATATCTTATCTCTGCTAAATTTGCCTGGAGTTTTTCCTGTTCCCGATCTTTAAGCAGCAATGCCACTATCCATTCCTCAAAAGTAGGATGTTGACTACAGCTAACTTCTCTCTCTCCACCCATTTGTTCACTGAGAAGTGTTTTTTGTGCTGCATCATGAGTGCAAAGTCACAGAATCACAGAATGGTTAAAGTTAGAAGGGACCACAGTGGGTCATCTTGTCCAACTTCCCTCTTCAAGCAGAGTTTTCTTGGAGCACATGGCAGAGGATCACATCCAGATGTTTCTTGAATATCTCCAGTGAGGGAGAATCCACGTGTCTGCGTAATCTGTTCCAGTGCACAGTCACTCCCACAGTAAGCAAGTTCTTCCTCATATTCAGGTGGAACTTTCTGTGCATCAGTTTCTTCCCATTGTGTCTTGTTCTATTGCTTGGTGTCACCAAGAAGAGCCTGGCTCCATCCTCTTGACACGTTCCATTCAGATACTTACAGACACTGATGAAGTTCCCTTTCAGTTTTATCTTTTCGAGGCTGAACAGGCCCAGCTCTCTCAGCCTTTCCTCATAAGAGAGATGCTTCAGTCCCTTAATCATCTTTGGGACCCTCCACTGGACCTGCTCCAGAAGCTCCACATCGCCCTTGTCCTGAGGATCCCAGAACTGGACACAGCACTCCAGATGTGGCCTCACTGGGGATGAGTAGAGGGTCAGGATCACTTCTTTTGACCTGCTGGCAATGCTCTTTCTAATGCATCCCAGGATACGATGGCCACCTTGGCCACTGGGACACACTGCTGGCTCATGGACAGACTGTTGTCCACCAGGACCTCCAGGTCCTTCTCCAAAGAGCTACTTCCCTGTATGTCAGCCCCCAACCTGTACCAGTACTTGGAGTTATTCCTCCCTGGGTAAAGGACCCTGCACTTTTCTTTGCTGAATTTCAGAATGTTGCTCTCTGCCCATCTCTCCAAACTGTCAAGGTCCTTCTGAAGGGCTGCACAGCCCTCTGGGGTATCGACCACTCCTGCTAGCTTTGTGTCATCAGTGACCTTGCTGAGGAGGCATCTGCCCCTTCATCTGAGCCACTGATGGAGAAGTTAATACAGGGCCCAGTATAAAACCTTTGAGGGCACCACTAGTGACAGACCTCCAGCTAGACCCTGAGCTACTGATGATGACCCTCTGGGATCTGCTGTTCAGCTGGTTCTCAATCCACCTCACTGTCCACTCATCCAGGCCTCACTTCCTGAGTTTAGCT